GCAACAAAATGTTGTCTTGGCAACATCTTCTTCAGCAATAAAAATCTGATTGTACCCAGAGTATCCATCTAACATACTTAAATATTCGAATCCTGCAGCAGAGTCTATTAACATTTCTGCCACAGGCATGGAGTACTCATCTTTAGGGGTTGCAGTATTTAAATCCCTAAAATCTATGCAAATTCTCAGAGAGCCATTTTTCTTAATAACAGGCACTATATTTGCTAACCATTCGACATACCTTGTGGTTCTGATGAATCTGCAGCGCAACAACCTTTCGATCTCAACTTTGATCTTTGTGAGAATCGTTGGTGCGAATCTTCTAGGAGTTTGCTTGATGGGCTTCTTGCCATCCTTGATTGGAAGTCTGTGCTCCACTAACTCCCTCTTTAAACCAGGCATTTCATCATAGTCCCACGCGAAGCAATCTTTTTTTCTCTTGAGGACTTCGATCACTTCCTGCTTGAGGCCTGGATTAAGTTTTGCGCTTATGTAGGTTATTCTTTTCGTGTTCTCATCCCCCAAATTCACTTCTTCGAGCGGATCCTGCGCCAACATTTTGGCACCTGAGTCTGAGGGGTCCTTCTCGAAGCCTAAGGGTTCTTTATCATAGATGGCATCTAGCCTTTGATCTATTTCGTGTTCTTCAAAGGGTGAGCCATTCGAGCCATCCCCATTTATTTCGTTCACTTCTACAGCCAATTTATCTACTTCAGCCTATAAGGCCGCTTTCCATTCGTTCTCAGCCACATAGGCCGAGATCCTTTCGAAGAAGGAGGACTTAATCATGATCAAGGTTGTCGAACTCCCAGCCTGCTGGCCGTCTTTGCATAGTACCTTCGACTCCTTCATCTTCACCGACTATTCTTCTATCCCAATACATGCCATCATGGTGAAGGGTCATATAATAGTGTGCGTTCCTAGTTTCGTTGATTTCGTCGTTAGGGGCACAAGGAGCAATCTTGGCCAAGTGTTTGTCATAATTCCTCTTGTCAACTAAGTTGACTGCTGCAATGAAGTAACTCTGGTCCGCTTCGATGTTCTCCACAATCCCATCTTCTCTCCATAAAACCAACCTCTGATGCATTGACGAAGGAACTGCTCCTACGCCATGGATCCACTCTCTTCCCAACAATAAGTTGTAGTTGGCTTTGGCTTCGATCACCATGAACATGGTGGGCCTGCAGCTCGATCCTACCGTCAAGTCCAGTTGAACTACCCCCAATGTTTGACCTACTTTCCCTTCATAGTTGGATAGGACCATGTTGTGTGGTTTGATGTCACCCTCGTGTATTTCTAACTTTTTCAGCATGAAATGGGGTATTAAGTTAACTGCAGCGCCTCCATCCACTAAGACCTTATTTATGCCATGGGTACCAACCTTTGCTCGAATGAATAATGGCTTCAGATGATTTTTCATAGCTGGCTTTGGGCACTCGAAGAAAGCATTCTGCTCCTCGACAGCTCCGTTATCCATTACGTAGTAACACATTGGCCTATGCTTCATCAGATCAATTGTATCATCCTCCTCATACTCTTCGATTTCAGTTTCCTATCCAAACTCACAAGGTAGTACAGATACCACGTTGCAATTGATATTGAGTGAAGACTCCCCCTCTGATTCGAAGTTGTCCGTTAGCATATCCTCGTCTTCTTTTGGACCTGGTGTGTACTCCTTCGATTCATTTGGTTGTGTTTCAGAGAAGAGTCTCCTACTAACTGGGGGTTTGTCCTCAGGTTGATTATTTGGTGTAGGTTTGTTGGTGCTTGATTCTCCTTGGTTTTTGATCGAAGTCGCTCCTTTATCTGCCATAGCTTCCCTTTCAGCCTTTCGAATTCTCTGTTGCCTTCGCCATTGTGATCTTGACATAGGGTTTCTTCCTTTGTAGTTTTCTAACCTCACTTCTTCCCTCTTCGCCATATTGAACTGCCTTCTATATGTCATGGCGTGGCGTGCGTTTCGTTCATTGTTTCTCCATTTGTCTTTGCCCTTGTCAGTTCTGACTTGAAGCCATTTGTATGTTGGTATTTCAGCAGAGATTTTGAACGTTACCCTTCGAGCGCCTTTGGGATGAGGACTATCAGGCCTTCGTTGAGTGTAGTTGCTCTCGAAACGTTGGCTCATCTGACCAGTCTCTTTGTGGTTCCAGCATGGGGAGAAAGGGATTGTTTCGAAGGATCTGACTATATTTTGATCGTACACTGCAGAACACCATGTTCATACTAGGCATTTGGTTGCCCCTTTGTGACAGCGAACCAAAAACTCCAACAAACTTTCTCCAACTTTAGGGTAACATCTGAATAATTGGTTATCCTGGCGCCAGTTGATGCCAGTTCGTGCCCTTTGTTTCCTCTCGAAGTTTGCAGCAATTCTCTGGTTGCAGATGATGCTGCATCCAGGGCATAGTATCATTTCGGCATCTCCTTTGTGGCACAACATGAGGTAGTCTTTAAAACTGGCATCCCTAGCATAACTATCCTCCATTTTGTATTTTTCTTTTTCTAAGTATCTCTCCATCTCCTCAATTTCAGAACGAGGTCTCTCCATATCCACCATGTTGACATCTACATCCTCCCCCTTTATGTCATCATCTCCCCATCCTGTAGGTTTGACATCTTCGATTTGGATTTTTGAACTTTCTGGGGCGGAATACTTCACCAAGTAGTCAAACTTTTCACTGGGCTCTCCCAAAGTATCCCATATTTCTTTCTGACGGGAGGCTGGCTTTGTGATCTGGACTTTCTCCAATTTTAGCCTCAGGCCTTCAGTAACCTGTGTCAACTCTTGCTTTTGGTTCTCCTGGCCTTCAGCAGCCTGGATCTCTTTCGAAACAGCCAAAGGTACTGCTTCAATCAAAGCCTCTAGTTGCTTGTGGACGTCCTCAGTGACCCCCTTGTTGCCTTCGACTAACACCCAGTTTTTATTCTCAGTGCTTTTTCCTCCTAATGGAGTGTCATCTTGATCTTCTTCCACCATATTGATTTCTCCAATGCATGCAGGCTCGGAGTAATTGGTGTCTGCAACATCCAAAGGGTCTTCATCTACTTTCATTTTTGGTTTGTCAGCGAATTTCAATCTGCCATCCTTAATTGCATTTTGAATCAGATCCCTGAAAAGAAAACACTGTGAGGTTTTGTGGCCTAGGAAACTGTGATACTTACAAAATCCTCTTTTCTTTCTTTGATCTAAAGGAGGTATTTTGACATTCGATGGCACAATTAGTTGGCCATCTTTGACAAGCAAATCAAAAATATCGTCACACTTTGTCACATAGAAAGTATACACCTTCTTTGGGAATTTGTCACTTTTCTCATTTTCAATAATTTCATTCCCTTTTGTGGGAACTAGTAATTTACAGGAATAAGGGGGAGCCTGTTTCAATTCAGCGAGATCAATTTTGACCTCTTCGAATTCAGGGTAATCTTCTGCTTCCTCAGTTCCAACATAGGAGACCCTTCCTTTCTTGTTATTTTTAAAAACTCTGGCCTTCTCGGCTTTTAGTCTTTCGACTTGTCGAACCCTGTCTGCTAGTTGGGCCATATCCCTCAAGTGTTGTGTATCTAATTTCTTTCGAATGGAGTAATCTAGGCCACCAGCAGCCATTTCGACTAACTCATGTTCAAGAACTACTGTGAAACATCTAGATTTCAAGAGTTTGAACCTATTCAGATAATCATCTATGGGTTCAGTAAACTTCCTCTTGACACTGGCTAACTCTTTCAGGCTTATTTTAGATTGCCCCATGTAGAATTGTTCATGAAATAACCTCTCCAACAGAGCCCAAGTATCTATGGACATAGGAGGCAAAGTGGTGAACCATGTAAAAGCGTTCTTAGTTAGGGAACTTGGGAAATATTTAATCCTAAGGTCTTCATTATTTGCTATATCTCCTGCTTCGGTTAGATACCTGGCTATGTGTTCGACTGTTGATTCATTGGTGTCTCCAGCGAGCTTTGTAAATTTAGGGACTTTATATCCCCTTGGTAAATCAGTGTGCATCACATAATCTATTATGGGAGAGGAATAGTTTGGCCTTCTAATACCTGTATTGAGACTGTTTTGAGCCATAATCCTTTCTATCATGGTGGTTAAATTATTTTCTGCCAAGATGTTGTCATTTCGAATTCTATGAACGACTTCATCAGCATCTTGGTGTCGTCCCACCATGACAACTCCTCTAGGTTGTTCTTCTCGAAACTCTGGGACTTCTAACCTTTCGACCCTTGCCCCTGGTTCTATAATTCCCCTTTGTGGGTCTTGAATCACTGGGGCTTCTAACCTTTGTGCCCTTGCCCCCAAGTTAACCCCCTCTCTGGCTGGTCTATAGGGTGGGTCATCAGCAATTTGTTCTATGATAGGTATGTTCACTCGAACCCCCACCTGATTCTGCCTACGCCTTTCTGGCGGAGCGAAAAAATCTGTTATTCGACTCATGTTATCCGCGTTTTCTCTGTTTGTCACAGTCACATTTTGTAATATTGGGGCAAAGATCTCTTGCATAGTTTGTGCTAACACTCCTATCATATTATGGTTACTATCATCCATTAATTGCCTAAAAGCCATCTGATTTTCTGTGGTTAAGATAGGCAATGCACTATAACCTACCGACCCTTGGTTATTTGTCATAAATTGATTAGCCCCAGATCCAGACCCTAATTATGGTGACGTATTCGATGTCGAAGTGTGCAGACCCGCCTAGGCATGGCAAAAAAACCCAGACCCGCTGGGCTCCGCCCGGACCCGCCCCGAAATTAACGGGGAAAACCCGGCTAAAACGGGTACGGGTGCGGGGGCGGGTAAAACCCGGTTTCTAACTACGGGTGCGGGGGCGGGGGCGGTAAGACACTGAGACCCGCCCGCACCCGCACCCGCCCCGCCCCGAATAATCCAATTACTATAATAACCTTGTTTTAATTATTTTTATGTTACTTTTATTTTCTCAGCTTCTTAGAAGCATTTTCTCAAGTCTCATCTTCTTCTCTCAAATCTCAATGCAAAATCACCGCAAGTCCGCAACGGCCGACGGCGTTGCTGCCATCACCACTACCACAACATCAACCCATCGACTTCGCCGCACACCAGCCCCTTTGCTCAGCCGCTGGATTTGAAAGGTTAGATCTATCATCTATGTACTATATCATCCTATTAGGTTTTAATTTACCAGCATCTAATATCTCTTGTTTGGTGAGATTTGCAAAAGATAATGGAATGTCAGTGTCACTGTCAATATTTACCAAGGATAATATAGGTTACGTCGAAGGTCTATCTGTATGAGTTGTGTTAGGTTTCCTGGTGGATAGGGTTCTGAATAGGTTTCTTAAAGAGCTAAGTTTCAATTGATGGGGTTCTTAAAGAGATAAGCTTTCCTATGGATACATGAAGTGTATCATTAAAACCTGTGTATTCAAGGTATAACTACTGGGTGAGTGAACTAAACTGAAATTCGGACAACCTGTGTATTCAAGGTATAACTGGGTGAGTGAACTAGACTGAAATTCGGGCAAACTGTCAATGAGATTTGGATTATATCCCAAATTCAGATATTTCAATTTTGAAAGATGAAATACTGCAACTGGAAATTCACCATACAACTCACAATCCATGAGAGATAGTGCTTGCAATCTCTTTTTGGAATGGCAGAATTGGAGTTTTGTTTCAGCAATGAGGCAAAAGAAGACAGGGTATTCCACTTCCTGGAATTATGATACCAATATTAAAGAAGGCAGGGTTTTATTTGTTGACTTTAATGAATTGTGTTATCCATGGAAATGTCATTCTACTGCATCTTTCCTTACTACTTATTTTAGGACAGTTGAAAATGAACAATCCTGTTCTCTTCCAATATTTGTTCTTTCGAAGATCCTGCTCGATTGTAGTAGGGAAAGGAAGCTCGGGAAAATATTCCAATTTCTTGCAATTCTCCAAGTTCAAATATACAAGCTTGAAAAGCTCCCCAAGGCTAGGCAGTGTCACAAAATTGTTCCCTCCAAGATTTAACATTTCTAACCAGTGTAAGCATCCAATTGCCTCAGGGAATAGTTGACTTAAACCACAATTGCTAATATCAACTTCATGTAAACAATATATGCTAAGTAAGGAAGGAAACATAATTGTGTCTGTTGTGGGAGTGGAAAACAAGGAGTGGTAAGGCTTTGAGGTCCATTTGCAGATGGAGGACGTTGATTGGGAATGTGAAGCAGTTTCAGTTATATCTAAATGCCCTGTATTGCTAAACTCTTTGAAACAACACCTAGAACACCCAGACATTTTTAGAACTTTAAGAGAGCTGAGACTAAATATGTTGTTGGGTATTCTTACAAGACTTTTGCAACCTTTTAAATTCAAGAAAACAATTTTTCTTAGAAGCTCAATAGATGGATCCAACAACGCACGGCTTTCATATTGATGACACTTTGGGTGAGTTAAAGGAAAAGATGAAGTAAATGTGTAAGAAAAGAGTGAATAGAGAAAAAGAAAATTGAGTGGCAAAACAAGAGACCACACAGACAAGAGTGAAGAATTAGTAGTGTGATGAATGGCATGTGGATTGTGGACATAGTCAAAAGAAGGGAGGCCTAGCTGCTAGCTATAAAGTCTAATTTAGTTAGTAATAAGTCAAAGTCAGGCATTAGAATTAGTTGCATACAAAAGCAATGTCTATTTCAATATTACTTTAAACACTCATTAAATATTGCGCAATTTGGTGCTGTTTTGTTTTACATTCAACAATTTTTTAGTATTAAATTGGATGCTGTTTTGTTTTACATTCAACAATTTTGTACTCTTATTATAATAGTATTAAATTAGAAAATCCATTTTGTTTTACTGTCCAACTGCACTCACTTTCATTCATTTTATTAATACTAGTTTATTATATATTTCATTTATTAATACTAGTTTATTATATATTTCATTTATTAGTACTAGTTTATCCTTATTCTTATTTTGAATACTAGTTTATTCTTATTCTTATGTACATCTTAATTATTTTACAGGATAATTAGTTATGGAAAATGAAGATACCTCTCAAATACGATGTCCACCTATCTCACAAGAAAGTACACATCAACCAATTCCCAATGAAAGTGGTAACCAATCAGTTGATGTTCCTCCTCCCACGCCAAATGATATTATGGAGGTTGATAGCCAAACAACCACAAGTCATCGATCCAGACATAAAAGTTTTGTATGGAATCATTTTACAAAGGTCAAAGTTGACAGAAAAGATAAGGCTTAATGTAATTATTGCTCAAAGAAGCTTAATGGATCATCAAATGATGGGACGTCACATTTAAAAGGACATTTGGGATGTTGTCCTAAAAAGAAGATTTTGAACCTATCTGATAAAGGACAAACAATTCTTACGCTTAGATCCATGCAAGGTAAACAAGAGTTGAGTACTGGAATTTATGATGCAGAAAATTCTAAGAAAGAGCTTGCACATGCAATTATTTTGCATGAATATCCGCTTTCAATAGTGGATCATATTGGTTTTAGAAGATACTCAACTTCTCTCCAACCAATATTTCAAGTTCCTTGTAGAAATACTATAAAGAAGGAGATACTCAAAGTATACAATATGGAGAGATCATCAACTTTGAAGTTGTTAGAAAATCTTGAAGGAATAGTGGCTATTACTTCTGACCTTTGGACCTCGAGCAATCAAAAAAAGGGATATATGGTTGTCACTACTCATTACATTGATGGAAACTGGAATTTATAGAGTCACATTTTGAGGTAAATCTAATTTCTTCGAATAATACATTAATTGCATATTATATATAGTTTTGTAATCACATTTTGAGGTAAATATAATTTCTTCTAATAATAGATTAATTGCATATTATATATAGTTTTGTGAATCACATTTTGAGGTAAATCACATTTATACTAGTTTTGTGAATCTTATTATGTTAGGTTCATTTATGTTCCTGCACCTCATACTAGTGAAAACCTTTGTGGTGCATTGGTTGAATGTTTGATGGATTGGAACATTGATTTAAAATTGTCTACTATCACTTTGGACAATTGTAGCACAAATGATGCAATGATTGATAAAATTAAGGCTAAGTTGAAACCAGAGACATTATTAAGGGACGGGGCCTTACTTCATATGCGTTGTTGTGCACATATACTAAATTTGATAGTAAAAGAAGGGTTAGAAGTTGTGAAAGATGGAATAGAGATGATTCGAGATAGCGTTGCATTTTGGACAGCAACTCCTAAAAGGAAGGAACGGTTTGAGGAGACATGTAAACAATTAAAAATACCTTGCACCAAGAATTTAGTTTTAGATTGTCCAACTAGATGGAATTCTACCTATAAGATGCTTGATGTTGCTATTTTGTATGAATAGGTATTTGATAGATTAGTAATCCGTGTAACTCAGTACACTTGTTTGCCAACAACTTTACATTGGAAATTTGCAAAAGAGATTTGTGTAAAATTGAAATTGTTCAATTCTATCACTGAAGTGTTTTCTGGAACTAAGTATCCAACTGCCAATGAATACTTCCCTAAGATTTGTCAGATTAAAGTTTCATTACTTGAGTGGATTGAATCCTCTGACGAATTGGTAAAAAGAATGGCAGAAAATATGTTGGTAAAGTTTGAAAAATATTGGAGTGTGATTCATGAAACAATGGGGGTTGCTGCTGTTTTGGATCCTAGGTATAAAACTGATTTGCTTGAATATTATTATGGAGTATTCTATGGGAATGATGTTGATTCCCAAGTTAAGTCAATCAGACAGTTGTGTTACGAGTTAGTTTATGATTATCAATTAAAAATGAACAAGGATTCTAGAAGTGAATCTGAAATGTTGGATGCTAATGTTGGAAATGTTAGTAATGATGGTTTGAAAGACTATGATTTGTATGTCATAAGAAAAAAAAGAGCTAGAACTTCATCTGTTAAAACAGAGTTGGATGTTTATTTGGAAGAGGAAGTTTTACCAAGAAGTCCAGATTTTGATATTTTATTATGGTGGAAGTTGAATGGGATTAAGTATCCAACACTTCAAGCAATTGCAAGGGATGTATTGGCAATTCCTGTTTCTACCGTGGCTTCTGAATCCGCATTTAGTACAAGTGGTCATATCGTAAGCCCTCATCGAAGTCGACTTCATTGGACCACTTTAGAAGCTTTGATGTGTGAAAGAAGTTGGTTATGGAGTGTTGAGAATAATGGTAAAGATCTTTCTTGTTTATATTTTTTATTTTTACTTGCCAAGACTATCATTGACTATATTTTACTATATTGATAGGTAATTTGAAATCTAACGTGGGAAATGAAAATGCTATTTTACTAACTGAAATGGAGTCTGATGATGAAGGTATTATTCATACTATTTGTATTAAATTTGTCAAGTTAAATTTTTATATTTTAACTTTTATTTTTTAACACATGTGAGTTGTTGATTGATGGTGCTACTTCTATTTCCAACTCCCGCCTCGAAGATGAAGATTATTAGAAAATTTGTTGTTTATTTGGATCTTTTTTTGTTATGATGATATCGTATATTTTGTTCCATGTTGTTGGAATGGTTATTTTGTTCCATGTTGTTGGAATGGTTCTTTTGTTGATTGTATTGTTTTAATTTTGTATTTGTACTTTGCAAAAAAATTGTTGATTATTAGGAGTGATTTATACTTTGATATATTGAAAGATTACACTCTTTTAATGAATCACAAGTTCAAAACCAATTATAGTTGATTGAAGGGTTATGATAGAAAAATATTTGGAATGGTGTTTGAATATTAAATCCTACAATTATTTACTCAAATCAATGGCGAATTTTGTATTTTTAATGTATTTGTTAATGCTGTCCAGGAAATTTGTTAAAAAAATAGATATTTTTTTATTTAAAAAAAACAGTTTTCGCGGGTGGGGGCGGGTGCGGGTGCGGGTGACCCGTTCTCCATTGGGGGCGGGTCTGGGGGTGAATTTCCATCCCCCTGCGGGTTTGGGGGCGGGGGCGGGTCTATTACTGGAGTTGCGGGTGCGGGTGCGGGGTTAGCTAAACCCGCCCCTGACCCGCCCCGTTGCCATCCCTAGACCCGCCATAAAAGATGTTGGCATCCCATAAGAGGGATTTGTGTCTGTTACCATCAAAACCGGGTGGTCTAGTTAGTGGGGTGGCGAAATGGGTTTGTGTCCCTGATGGTGGGACGAATCCCCCAGGATAACCAGTGGTTCCTGTATTTCCTAGGATCGAACTGTTAGTCGACATGCCACTTGTTCCATTTGTGGCTACACTACTGGTAGAGGATGCAACAGACTGTGCGCTCGAAGGGATCGCATTAGACGTTCCCGTCGAAGCAGACATATTAGTGCCGGTTCCATGTGGGGCATTTTGTTCCCCTTGTTGATTGTTTGGATTAGACATCTTGTTATTACGTTTTCTTCTGGGTAAGGGTTGGTTGCTATTGGTTATTCTACCACTTCTAAGGTTCATATAACAACGAACTTATCACTCAGAAAGAACTTTTACAATGATTATATCCTAACAATCTTTACTTCGTTTTAAATTTCGTAACGACCAATTACGGTCCCACTGGACGTGCCAATTTGTTTACAGTGATTTCTGGTAAACAACCGCTAGTCCTCCAAACTATCAAATAATCTTAATGACTGTTATTTAATCTCTCTGGTAACTTGCAGGATCGACTAGATTGATCCTATGGGGTATTGGTCGTTTGGATAAATCTAATTGCAAAACTGATATTCATAGTTAGGATTTGTATTTAGAATATTTTATAGACGTTCAATTCACTTTGATTACCATGTTAAAAGAATCTAATGACATGATCAAGTAAAGAAATACGAAACTGAATTGTATGAATAAAGATTCGATTGCAAAGAAATGTTTACATGCAGAAATAAGTAAATGACTTTGAATGCAAAGACTTTAATGTAAAAAGCATGAATATAAAAACATGAAATGTAAAAGAGTTTCTGAAATGTAAAGGATTCGAATAGAAGAAAACGTTTAAATGCAAGAAATAAGTAAATGACTTTAAATGCAAAGGTATTTGAATGACATTGACATGAAAATGGAAGATAAACTGGAAAAGATAAAGAGTTTTACTGAATTATAAATGTTTGGTGTTATCATACGTACATTGTTCGAGCATTCGTTTCCCTATCCACGTGGTATTTTGAATGTTTATTGAATTTTGTACAATAGATATGACACACGAAATCCTAATACTAAGACTTCTATTTATACTACTTCGACCACAACGGTCTTGCTTATAAGATTCTGC